GGGGGGGGGTGAGGGGGGGCGGGGAAGCGCACTCTTAAAAAGCCCTAGCTGAATTTAACACATCGCCTTAACCCGGCCAGTTTAAGCGGTAGGAACGCATTCTGCGCTTTTTTCATAAGCCGTACAAGCATAAAGATCTTAGAAACATTTCATGACCACCACAGCGAATTCCTTCCAAGACTTTAAGTCGCTAGATGATAACTTTTTAGCCTTTCTGAATTATCCAACAGTTTACTCCAACTACCAGCCACCCAGGATCAATTCTGGAGGACTGACACCACCAGTAGGAGGCAACCGACAGGGACAAGTCCTTCAAGAGCAAAATTATGACAGATCGGAAGGAAACACTCTAATTTTTGCCGTCTTGTTTATAGCCATACCACCCTGAACGCACCCGATCTCGTCTACTTTTTGCCACCTCCCGCTTCCTTCGCCTGTCCCAGACAGCAACGTGTCTTCAGTGCATCTTATGGCCAAAATCTGGCTCCAGGTTTCAAACACGTTTCCGCTGGCGGCCGCCAAAGTGAAGTCTCGAAGGGAGAGGACTGCTCCCCATTGATCCTTGGGGTGGGGTGGTGGGGGGAAGTAAAGCGAGGAGCGTTTGAAGGGAGACAACAATCCTATCCCTCCCAAAGCCACTTTGTTTGCCCGCACCTCCACCCTGGAAAGAGCGCTGAGACCCAGAAAAGTCTTCCCTCCCATCGATTGACACTGAGAGCGCTCTCCGTGCTGGGGGACCACGGGACTGGCGCTATAAAAGGCCCCAAACTGCCTGAAAAAGAGGCGGGCGCCAAACAAGCCGGGGAACTTACCCAGTTTCTTCCACATGGCGAGATGACAAGCGAGGAAGCCTTTGCGGATGGCAGCGCACACCTTCCCCGGCTCGGAAGAGGTGAAGCCCTTCTGCTTCTTGATGAAACCCCACAAGTGCTCCCGGGCAAACTGTGCCGCCTCCCGCCCGCCGTGCCCGTCGCACACGGCGAAAAAGGCCACCGAGGAACGGCGGCGGCAGCAGCAGCCGGGAGCCGGCGAGGCCCCGGCGTCCGGCGGCGCGTCGCGAGCCTCTCGGGCTGCCACCGCCGGGCCTCTCCCCGAGATTTCGCCGCCAGGAAGAGCCAGCGGTGACCGCTGCGGAGGCAACGGCTGAGAGAGAGACCGCCGCGGCGAGGGCTCTTCTTCAGCCGTGGGCTCGGGCTCCACCACGATCTGAGTAACGTCCTCCATGTACTTCCTCCCGCCCTGGTCTGAGAAGACGCTCACTCCCAGAGAGTACAGCCCCGCCATGGCAGGCTGGCCGAGATCCCGCCGGTCCCACGCAGCCCGCCGAATGCGGCGGCGGGATACACACTCGGCGCTCGCCGGATAACTATTGTTTATCTTCGACTACGCCGAGAAGGGGGAGGGAGCGGTCCCGGAGGTGGGGGGGGGGGCGCACGATGTCGAGACTTGTCCGCCAGAGCTGGGCAGAAGCGCCAGGGGGAAAGGAGCCGACCAGCTGCGTCTGCGCAATGCGCCTCCGCCGGCTGCCCGCGCCCACCACACAAATCAGACGTTCTTCCCGGCTGACGTCACTCGGCTCTCTGGGCTCGACCAATCCGGAGTCGAGTTGGAGCGAACCCGCCCTCCGCCCTCAACCCTCGCTCCTCCCCGCAACGGCCGCCCTCCCTCCTCCCACCGTGGGCGCGGGGCCCGCGCGCGACCTGGCTGGCTTTCGCTTTGCAGTGGGTGTTTTCGCCCTCCCACTTTTCGGCGGGTGCTAAACGCTTAGCTACCAATTTGATGTCACCTTTTTGCTCAATCCCAGGGATCATGATGCAGTCTGCTGCCCTGGGCGTTCCGCTGCTCGCCTCGTGTGGGCTTGGGCCTCCCACGAGTGTAGAGAATCTGGGAGGAAAGACCTTCATTTCTTGAAGTTAAATGGCGGGAAACCTCACTTCGGAAGGTGGTTTGCGAACAGCCTGGAAAAAGCATGCCACAGCTGAACTGGATTTCGGTGGGATGGATCCGACCGGGAGTTGAGAGAGCAAATCCAGTTTGTGTTAAGAAAACTTGGGAAATTCCCACTATCGGCTGCACAGTCTCCTTTCATATACCTGGGTATGTCGGAGACTTAAAAGGCTTAACTGTTTTTTTAAACATCTTTTCAGCTTTTGTTAAAAGTAGTACTTTTTCCGACGAGCCCTGGGTGCAGCATCTTCCTCCTTAGGCGGGATCAGAAAATAGCTTACAATAACTACCCAGCGCTCCAGTGCTCCAACCGTTCGGTTATCTTCTCCCGTCTTCCTCCAGTAGGTCACAGTCTAAGCACTAAAACCTTTGCACGGACTTCAACCGCATTAAAATAAGCCTCAGAGTGGGCAGATTGGTATGTTCTCAACAGCACACGTTCTTGTCGTGAATCAAAGTTCACTCTTCCAGTTTTGGGCCACATCACCATCAGCTCTCCTGGGTGCCCTTTCCTCTACAGCCTTGGAGTTATTTCAAATGGAATGATACTAGTTCTGAACTGGGAATGGGGAAAATGTTCATTTTTTTCACATGTGACAAGAAATACAAATAGAAGAAAATCCTTATGCCAATAAACATATAAATAAAATCACCTGGGACTTCCCTGGTGGTGCAGTGGTTAAGAATCTGCCTGCCAATGCAGGGGACACGGGTTCGAGGCCTGATCCGGGAAGATCCCACATGCCGCGGAGCAAATAAGCCTGTGCACCACAGCTACTGAGCCTGTGCTCTAGAGCCCGCGAGCCACAACTCCGGAGCCCGCGTGCCAAAACTACTGAAGCCCGTGCGCCTAGAGCCCGCACTCCGCAACAAGAGACGCCACCGCAATGAGTAGCCCACACACCGCCACGAAGAGTAGCCCGCACACCGCAACGAAGAGTAGCCCCCACTCGCCGCAACTAGAGAAAGCCCACGCACAGCAACAAAGACCCAACGCAGCCAAAAATAAATAAAAATTAAAATACAGTAGGTAGGGCTTCCCTAGTGGCACAATGGTTAAGAATCCGCCTGCCAATACAGGACACGGGTTCAAGCCCTGCTCCGGGAAGATTCCACATCCCACGGAGCAACTAAGCCTGTGTGCCACAAATACTGAGCCTGCGCTCTAGAGCCCGCGAGCCACAGTTACTGAGCCTGCGCACCACAACTGTAGCCCCCGCGCCTAGAGCCCGTGCTCCGCAACAAAAGAAGCCACCGCAATGAGAAGCCCGCACACCAAAATGAGTGGGCCCTGCTCGCCGCAACTAGAGAAAGCCCACGCACAGCAACAAAGACCCGACGCAGCCGAAAGTAAATAAATAAATTTTAAAAAATAAATTAAATCACCTCAAAATGTAACAAGTCTGACTAGATCAATTAAATCTAAAATGTAATCAAAGATATACCCTACGTCAAAATGCACTACTACACCAGATGGTTGCAGACTGTAAAAACACTTAGAAAAAAATCCCAGGTTGTTTTGAAAGATAATCATAATCCTGTTATTAAACCCTAATAATTGTAACGCTGGAAGGATATCTGTAGACCATATTTTATAACTAAATACAAAAAACCTAAGTGAAATATTAGCAATTCTAGTTCAGTACCCTCCATAACACAAGACCTGCAAGAGACAACAGTTTGTGTAGCTCTCTATATTACTCATCTTAAACAGCTTACTCACCTTCCCTTCCACTCCTAGAGATTACAAAAAGTTAATTCCATCATGCTCTATAATCCTTTTCACTCAGTCACAACCGGTAGCCTCCAGGTCATCCACCATTACCCTGATTAGCATCTCCATGGTACTCTCTACTTCTATTAATCTGATTCAGTACTCTGCTCTTTACCGATCATCCTAACCATTTCACTCCACCCTTCAGATTTCAACATCTTTATCAGCCATTTCCTCTTTATTCTTAACCTCTTCTCTAAATGTTCCATCAACTTCCTCTTCCAACTGAAAACTGGTTTGTTGCCTAGCAAAACCACCTCCCTTACAACTTTTCAAGTACAGGAGATTATTTTTCCTCTCACAGGTATTATCTTCAAACCAACTTCTCTTGTTGCCCCCAAATCATTTCTCTTCCTTCCTCCTTCAAAAACCTAAGCTTGGGATTTCTGTGGTGTGGTCCAGTGGTTAAGACTCCACGCTCCCAATGCAGGGGGCCTGGGTTCGATTCCGGATTAGGGAATCTAGGGATCTAGTGATCCCACATGCTGCAGCTAAGACCCAGCGCAGCCAAATAAACAAATAAATATTAAAAACACACACACACACACACAAAACCCAAGTTCTTTTAACGTTAATGCCAGCTGCCACCACACGAAGATGCTGTCACCTACTGATCCCTGTTAACTCCCCCTTCATTCGTTCATGGCTCACTGAAATCTTTTCTTCCACTATTTATTCTTCAAAATGTTATCTACATTTTCCATCCAATATCCTGGTTTCTCAGTTCCTCATCCTCCTCTTCATGATGCCAAGGCCTTGCTACCATTAAAGGCAACTCTTCCATTTGTATTCTAGATCCCGTCTCCTCACTCCTTCTCAAGAGCTTTGCTCCACCAGTTATACTTTCTTGCTCCTACCTCATCAATTTCTCTTTTTCTACGGGGTCATTTCCATCTTTGTACAAATATATTCTGGTTTCTATTTTAACAAACAACAAAAAAACTACCTTGACTCCTGATTCTACCCAATTTCTCTGCTCCCTGTCCCCAAAAAAATTTTTAAGGAGTTGTCTCAGGGACTTCTCTGGTGGAGCAGTGGTTAAGAAACCTCCTGCCAGTGCAGTGGACATGGGTTCGAGCCCTGGTCCGCAAAGATCCCACATGCCGCAGAGCAACGAAGCCCGTGCGCCACAACTACTGAGCCTGTGCTCTAGAGCCTGCGAGCCACAATTACTGAGCCTGTGTGCCACAACAGCTGAAGCCTGCACGCCTAGAGTCCGTGCTCCACGACAGGAGAAACCACCGCAATGAGAAGCCCGCACACCACAACGAAGAGTAGCCCCCGCTCGCTGCAACTAGAGAAAGCCGCGAGCAGCAGCGAAGACCCAATGCAGCCAAAAATAAATAAATTAATTAAAAAAAAAGTTTTCTCTATCTAGAGTCAACTTCCAATTCAACTGCTAATTGCTCCTTAACCCATTCCCGTCAAGCAACTATCCCCGTAATGCTGCTAAGACTGTTTTTAATGACATAACCAGACCTCTCTGTTTCCAAAGCTAAATGATGACTTTTCTGATCTTACTGACTCTGTTCCAACTGAAGCAGCAAGGGAACCACTGTTTCCTTCTTGAAACTTAGTAGCAATTCAAACCATTGCTTCTTTCTGGAAACTTTGTTCTCTTGGCTTGTAAGAGACCACGTTATTCTTGGCTTCTTCCTACCACATAGACTGACCACCCCTTTTCATTTTCCTTTGCTTATTTATCCCCAGCTAGACCTCAGGTTGTTGGGAGAACTCAAGGCTTTGTCATGGGATCTTTTCTTTTCCTATACACTCTTCCCAGGTAACACCATCCAGGACTATAGCTCTAAAAACTATTCACTGATGACCCCCCAAAATTTTTTTTAAATGCATAGTTTTTGTTTTGTTTTGTTTTTTGTTTTTGGCGGTATGCGGCCTCTCACTGTTGTGGCCTCTCCCATTGCGGAGAACAGGCTCCGGACGCGCAGGCTCAGCGGCCATGGCTCACGGGCCCAGCCGCTCCGTGACATGTGGGATCTTCCCGGACTGTAGCACAAACCTGTGTCCCCTGCATCGGCAAGCGGACTCTCAACCACTGCGCCACCAGGGAAGCCCTTAAATGCATAGTTTAAAATTTTCTTTTATTACTGATATTTTTAAGTAATTTTATTTATTTGTTTATTTATTTATTGGCTGCATTGGGTCTTTGTTACTGCACACAGGTTTTCTCTCTAGTTGCGGTGAGCGGGGGCTACTCTTCGTTACCATGCGGGGGCTTCTCATTGCGGTGGCTTCTTTTGTTGTGGACACAGGCTCTAGGCATGCGGGCTTCAGTAGTTGTGGCATGCGGGCTTAGTTTCTCCACGGCCTGTGGGATCTTCCCGGACCAGGGCTCGAACCCGTGTTCCCTACCTTGGCAGGCGGATTCTTAAATACTGCGCCACCAGGGAAGTCTGATGACTACCAAATTTATATCTGCAGTCTGAACTTCACCCTGCATCCCAGACTCTGTATGCAACTGCACCCTTGACTGTTCCACACAGGTGTCTAATGTTAACATGGTCATAACGAATTCTTAATTTCTTCTCCATATCTCCTCCTCCCTTTCTTACCAATATCAATAAGCATCGTTATCCACCAGGCTGTTCAAGACAAAAAGCATCGGAGTTTTTTTATTCCTCTCTTTCCTCCATTCTCTTTCCCCCTAGGTCCCCCATCAGTTTTCAATCCTTCTAATTCATCATCAAATCCTTTCGACTAAATATTTGAAATCGATAACGAACCCACCACTTTTCACTACATCCACTGCTACCATTCCATTCTAAGCCACTATTAC